AGCTGTGCATCGCCTTGTTCTTGGGGTGGCTCAGGGGGTCTGTGTGGGTACGTCAGCCCTGCTGGTGTTAAAAACACGCCCCTGAGCTAAAGAGAAGGGGCCGGTAACAGCATGAATGGCGGCCAGTTTTCTGTTCCAGAAGTGCTGTCCAGCCTCTGTCGTGTACAGGAAGCTGGGGAGGGACTTTTTACAAGGGCAGTTAATGACAGAACAAGGGGGAATGGCTTCAAACTGGAAGAGGGTAGGTTTAGATTAGATATTAGGAAGAAATTCTTCACTGTGAGGGTGGTGAGACACTGGCACAGGTTGCCCAGAGAAGCTGTGGATGCCCCCTCCCTCGAAGGGGTTCAAGGCCAGGCTGGATGGGGCTTTGAGTGACCTGGTCTAGTGGAAGGTGTCCCTGCTGATGGCAGGGGGGTTGGAACTAGATGATCTTTAAGGTCCCTTCCAACCCAAACCATTCTGTGGTTCCATGTGTAGCTGCCGCTACTTGCAGTGAAAGATTTGCACCTTATTTGCACCTTATGCTGCTCTAAAATGCAGCACCTGTGAGCCAGCAGCCAGGCCTTCTGTCTTTGTTGATTCAGCAGAGGGATGGAACGGAACCTTAACAGGCAAATAAATCCTAGGGATTGCTTTCCACCTGGATGTGAGTCCCTGGAATTGCTTCTCCTCCTTTTGCTTTGGGACTGCAAATGCAAAAGCCTGTGTGGTAGGGTTACAACTGGGGTGCTCTTTGGTAGATGGGAATAAAGCAGAAATTCTGTTGAGGGCGGAATACACGCCTCTGTTGTTGTATCTGCTGGCCTTTTATCTGAAAGGTACCTACAGGAATTTAGAATGTGTCTGAAAACAGAGGAAATGGCTCTTATTCATTGACATTTTTGTTGTGTGCTGAGCAAGTGCAGTTACTTTATTCAATTTCCTGTCTGCTTTTCATTTTTAAGATATTTTTCTGACTTTTGTTGTTGTTTACAGATAAATCTGCTTGTCCAGTTTAATTATTTTTCTCTCTTGGGCAAGGAAGTACGTTTTCTTTTTTCCCCACACCCCCTCATATCCAGTCAACCTCCTCAGTATTGCTGCAGCAGTCTAAGCTAGTATCTCTAATCTCTATAGCCTGTGGAATTCGGAATGTCTTTCTTAATGACTTACAAGCAGTAATTATAAAAGGACAGGTTTATTCTCAAAAACTGGATTGGAAAGGTTGTTTTATTGTTAAAGTATTTACACACATATGTCATTGAGACCACTATCTAACGGAATTACTTATAGTCAATAGAAGTTATTTTTTTCCCTTTGTATCGTATCTTCAAAGCTTATCAGCATTTTCCTTCCAGCAGCTTTTGTATTGTAAAAGCACTGGTAGAAAGACGCTCTCAAAGAAATGCTTTTATTAATGTTTCCATTAACGTTAGAGTTTTTCTGGGTTGTAGGTTCAGATGATCTCATTCTGTCACTCAGAATTAATACAGAGGTATTACATTAGAATATAAATGCTCAGCTTCCAGCATCTTTAGTTGCCTGCAAAATATGCACATTTTGAGTCTTTTAATCTTTTCTTTACAGTCCTTCTATTCATTTGTGTTAGAAAAAAATTGTTTCTTGAAGTGCAGGAAATAGTAAATATAATTAAATGGCAAGAATCCAGCAGAAAGCATTATTGACAATGCTCAGTAAATTAATGTTTAGTCATGTCGTGAACTTCAAGGAAAGCAAGTGTCTATGTGATTCCACCCTATAGGTATCCCACCAGTATTCTTAGGCTGCTCAGACTATTATCTCTTAAAAAAAAAACCCAAAACAAAACAAAACTCAAAAATAGACGCGTGTCCCCAAATACAAAAAATGAAACAGAACTTGTACGTTCTTGTCCACTTGACTTGCCTCATGTCACAACTCAGTCCAGTCTGTTCCTCCCCTTGCTTGGCTGCTCAGGAAGATGGAAGTGGTGGTGGATATTGTAGCACAGAAAACGCCATCTGAAAATGATGTTCATGTGGCGAGAAACTATCTCATGAAGATCTTGAGAAGTTCCATGAGGTACAGTACTGACTTTACAAGTGCATCCCTTCTGTTCCTTTCCAGTGATTGAATTCCTCTACCATTTGCCAAACCCATAGCAGACAGTTCCTGAAGTCCTGTTTCCCAGCCTTCATTTCCTGACGCTCCAAACATTACTTGTGTTGTGCTAGTCTTGTGTTTCCTTAGTGGTGCATCATAGAAAAGTAATTGTCTCATAACAGATAAACCTTTTTGCTGAACTGATGCCTAGGAGGTCTACTGAATTTGCTTAAATGGGTATCTGTGGTTTGTCGAGCTGGTATCAGCACCGTTAGAGGTGAGCTGTGGGGAAAAAAAACTCTTCAACGTTCTGTGCAGCTGAACAGTGGAACAGTTTTTTCTCCATACCTGAACGCAGGCTTGGGGCCCTTGGAGTTTGCAAGGACTGTCTGGAGCCCAGCAGTGCGTGGCTGAGCAGAATCTTTTGCACTTGTTTGTGCTGACAGTATTTGGACTCTTCCACTGACTCTCTGAATTTCATATTCTACCAAGAAAGAAGAACATAGTGATCCTCTGCTTAACTGGTTTATCTTTTGTTGTGCTGGGAAGAGTAGACTTTTTTTTATGGAAACAATTACTTCTTTTTTTTTTCTTTTTTTTTTAGTGACAGTAATGATGCTACACTTCTCAGTGAAATTACAGCTTCCATGTAGAATTGTTATTCTCCTTTTGTAGTCCTGCATGCAGGGTTTGGAAAGGCAATTCGTAATTGAATTAATCAGATCTTTCTGAATGCACTGCAAAAATCCATGTACCACTGGTTTGTGGTTGCTGAGAGGTGTTGCAGACAGCAAGTCCTGGGAAGGAAGCGCAAGCCGTTGTTAGTAATTCCTGAGCAGAAGGAAGGGGCAGAGGTGTGCAGAGCAGTTGGGCAGAGCGGTTTGCCAAGTACAAAGCTCTAACAACTTATTGTTACACTTCTTGGAAGGGATCTTTTCAGTTACATGAGCATGTGCATTTGGAGGTGATATCCAAGTGGATATTTGGGGACTGAATTGCTGAACTAATGTGTTTAAATGTATTCTTTAAAAAACAAAACAAACAAAAAACCCTGCATACCTGAGGTGCCAGTTATTTAAAGAGCTGAAGCAGAGCTTGGCTGGAGTTAAAATTATTAGTTGTATCACTCTTACTGACTTGCATGAAACAATGTACATGGCTTTATTCCTTCCTGTCGTTAACTCTTTTCTTCCCACCTCCTCCCATGAGCACATAGCTACAGTAAAACCTTACCAAAGCCCTGCTCTACTGTTCACGTGTTGTAATGGTCATAAGCCTCAGTATTAGCTTCGACTGTTAAAGCTCCGCATATGTGCCAGGTACTTTAAAATTTGTTTGCCTGTCTCCGCCCCTCCTAAAAACCACCCCACTCCCAAAATAAATAATTAAAAAAAAAAAAAAGAAAAAAAAAGAAGAAAATAAAACAGCCAAGCACAGACCTGAGAGAGTGTTGACGTTTCACTGCATCTGGAGCATTTAAAGGAACGCTGGTGTCTTTTCAAAACTGGCATGCGCGTAGAAAGTTGTCTCATTTGCTGTCACTTGCAGTCGTTACGCCTCTGCCCTGTCTGGGTTGCCTTTCACTACTGCCCTGGTAGATTTCTTGCTGCATGTTTGCACTGAACTATTTGCATTAAACTAGTACGCTCTCTCTCTCTCTCTCGTTTCCAGAAGAAATGACCTAGCCTGCAGGCCCCACTCCTGGCACGCCACCAAATTTACAGAGAGTCAACCTGAGACGGCCACGTCACACCTTTCCTCCTCCAATGCCTGCGCTTCCTGGCACTCGCGCTATCATGCAAGGTGAGTCCCTGCTTCAGCTCCAGCAGCAAGACAGTGATAATGTCGGTCATGATACTGAGTGTCTTTTCAACCCAGGCATGCAGAACGGTTGCATTGTGTGTCTTTAGTGTTGCCTGCCCTGTCAAAGCTTGAAGGGAGAGCATGGGAAGTCTGACGTACGGATAAGTCGATTTCAGAAACAGTATGTGATATGTGCGCGTGACTGAGAGGTAAGAAACTGGCTTTAAAGGCACTCGGAGGTTATGTGCCTTGCTCTGCATTTCCTTTCAGTGTCCACTGGTAAAATCCTAAACCTCTGTAAGCGAAAAGAAACCATCAAAATTGCCATACTTCAAATGAAATAGTAAAGCAAGAAGAAACTGAAAAATACTGTTTCAGAGTATTAAAAAGCCTTTTCCTAAAGGGAGGGTACACAGTGTTTTCCTGTTGGACTTTAAGGCATTACTGGTTTTATTAGTTACACTGTGTAATCTGATCTTCCCTACAGCTGTGCTCTTGCTTGTGTAGAGAGGTAATAAGACCGATGGTGTTCAGTCCCTGTTTAAAGCACCTTAATATTTGTTAGGTCTCATTTAGCACTATGGAAGAAAGACTGGCACCCATGCAGCTTCACTTGTGAATCTTTAAACTTTTAGGTAATGCCTGTTTGTGTCTGGTCACAGGTTCTTGTTTGTTTCATGCTGGTAGGTGACATTCTTCATAATTTTCACAAGTTTGTTTGCTTGGTTTTTGTTGTTTGTTTGTTTTTTTGTTGTGGTTTTTTTTTTTATTTAGTTGCTTTTTTCTTCTCAGTTCCTATTGAGCCCCAGTTATGCTGAGCGTTAAAGAAAGCGAGTCTGGTATCCAGTCCCATTTGGGAAAGTAGGCTTGTGTTTTCTGTACTTACTGCTGTACATTTTCTGTCATTACTTCTTGATTCTATGTGGTAGTTATAACAGAAGAACATTCATACTTTCAAGATTTTATTTAGTTTTTCATGTCATTTTTTACAATTTTTTTTCACATCGTTTGTTTTCTTTAGAAACTCTCTTCTCTTTTTAAAATAACTTGCTATCTGCTCTTGAATAGAGTATGAATGTTAACATTTAGACAGAAAGGTTTTTTAGATGCATTTTGTAATACGTCATGAGCAGATGTTTTAGCACATTGTATTTCTCAAATCCTTGTTTAGAATTGCTGCTGTTTTACACTGATTTAGAGAGTTTGTATTTAAATTTCATGTAGAGAAGCTGAATGAAATTTATAGATTTGAAGACAGTAAAAGTCCTTGTACAGAGAAACAAAATTCAGAAAGTTCTAAAAACGTAATTATAGAGCTCCTGGTTGCAATGCCAGCTCAAGAGTTTTGCTACTTTTGGTCTACTGAGTCTTCTGACAGGGCTGTAAATCAGTATATGCTTCCTGTTCTTCCTGATGGTTGTCCTTGAACCTTGTTAAAGTAAAATGTTACCAGACATATGGCTCAAAGTGTGATTTGATAGGAGCTGGGTGAATTGCAATATTTAAAAAAGGAAAAAATATTAATTTGGTTCAAGGCCAGTGTGAAATGAGCTTTGGGCAGGAAATTGGATGGGAAGGAAAAAGGGGAGGGGAATAGAGCAATCTTCTCCCCTCGCAGATCAGAAATAGCAGCAACTGCTGGTAGACATCAGTACTAATGAAAAGGGCAAATTCTGCTTTCTCAGATGCTGCTGAAAGATTTAGTGGCTTCAGCACAGTCTAGTACCGGGGTTCCCAGGGCGCTGCCGGAGATCTCTCAGGCCTGGTGTCTGTTGCCCAAGACAGTTTCAGCGGCAGAGCTGACCTCAGACTGCGGCTGCTGGAGGCCCAGCGTTCCCAGTGTGCCAGCTGGAGGATTTGGGTATTTTGAGGATCCCGGTTGCAGAGGGAGGTTCTTTGGGCTTGCTTGGCTGCAAAAAGAGAAGGTGAGCAGCTTCAGAGACTCCCCACTTCCAAAGTGCAATTCGCAAAACAGAGATGCACCGTGTGCTCCCAAGTCAAGCACCCAGCTGAACAGGATGCACAGCAACTGGTATCTGAAAGCAGCAGTATGCAAGGAGATAACAGAAATAGCCCTGGGAGGGTATATGCTGGAATTTCTTGTCCTACCTTGAGCTAAGCATCTAAGGTTGGTATTCACAGCCTAAAATCTCTTGTGAATGTACCTGCCTGCCTGCATTCTCTCTGTGAGTGTGAAAGCTGAATCACTTGTAAAACACCAAGAGCTCGATCAGAGGGAGAGATGCTTTTGCTCTCTTCCAAGCAGATATACCTGGATTTTGTATGTTGGGGGTGTGGGGCACAGCTGGACCGAACAACCCTCTGAAAATTGTGCTAGGTAGGCACTAGATTAAGCTATGTGCAATTTGATTTGGTTTGGTTTGGGGGGAGGGGGAAGATTTTTTGCCAGCTTACTGAATTTGGACCTTTGAGAAGGTGCACGAAGCTAGAGGAAGATGGACCAGAAGAGACTGTACCAGTGTAGATAGGAGAGAGGGTAGTTCTGGAGCACAGCTCTCCACATCCACCACTATACGTGTATTTTTTTTAATCGTGTGACTTTAATTCAAAAACTGAACTATGTTGGAAGCACTAGGCCAGGCCTGGGTGCTTCTCACACAAGGCCAGAGAGTTAGACCTTAATTTCCTTCTGTGAGTCTTCTGCTGTCTTTTTCACACAAGTCATACCTTAACAACATGGACACAGACTGTTTTCTTAGCCCACCCCACTTTTCTGGCCGGTGTGGATGTAAACTGTCTTAAGTTGCTGAAAGCTTAGGGCCTGCATTTTCTTTCAGTAGGTTATACTATAATAGAGGACCTTATAATTTTTTTTAATTTTTTTTTTTTCCATGCCCCTGGGTGTGCAGTTGAAACCAGCAACCTCTTTTACTTCATTCTGGCCTTACAGGTGTGGGTGTGAGGCAAATGTGCTCTGAGAAGGCTGCTTAAACTGAAGTTTGGGGGCAATTAGGGTCAGGTACATCTAATCTGTAATCCCCTGTGGTCTGAATGTTGTCTGATTTGCTGAGATGTTGTCGTTTCTGGGAGGGCCCAGGAGCAGAAGCTTGTGCCCCAGGGTTGAGGGGGTGCTTATTGGCCAAAGTGACCAAGGATGGTGTCTGTAGATTATTTCTGGGCTTTACCTGCCAGACTTCCACCAGCAGTGTAGATGCTTTTGTGAATCCACTCTAAAAAAACTAGTGAGGGAGGGATATCCTCGGATGCCAGGCTTGGGCAGAAAAATGGCTTTTGAACTCCCCTCCATGTCAGAGTTTGTGGGAGGATAGTCCTGCAGTAGAGGACCACAGGAGGCCGTGCTTTGCAGTAGCACATCATCAGAAACTTTCCTCTCCTTTCTTTGAAGCTTTTGCTGCATCTGCTGTTTCCATTAGACATTTTCTAGCAGGGCTTTGACCTCTGATGCTGACGATCTCTGCTTCACATTTGATACCAGCAGATCTACACAAGAATTTTAAATTGTAAATTGAGGCTTTCTGCACAAGTGTCATCTTTATTTTAATCAATGCCAAGTATCTCCTTGGTGCTGCAGAAGGGGAAAAATATCAGCAATTCATAGCGATATCTGGCTTATGTTCTTCATTAACAAAGGAGAACCTAATAATGACCAAGACACTTTTAACATGAACCACAGTGTCTGCCGAAGAAGACAATTAAGACATTTTTGAGTATTCAGCAAGATGTTTTAAAATGATATAAATAAAAGAATTAAAGAACAAAAAACCCAGATGACCAGTGCTAGTGTATCTTGTTAATAAAATGCTTCTAGAAAATAAGCACAAACTTCACCTTCTCTTATTTCACCTTCTCTTATTTCACGTAAAGTACTTTTGACCATGTTGCATAAAAAAAGGTTACAAAGACTATAGTAATAAAGCCGGGGGGGGGGGCAAGCGATTCTGATGTTAATACTGAATTCCAAAGAACTGTTTAGTTGAAATTTGCAGTATTTTTGACAGAAAAAGATTTGTATCACTCTTTGTATATTTTCTTTTTTAATGTGGACTAATCTAACTTCATTGCTAGCTTTCACAGGTTTCTTTACTGCACAAGTTTTGATAGATGCTTCGTATAATTATAGCTACAGGGAAGTGGATTAATTCTGGGATTTCTATCAAGGGGCTTTGCATGCAAGGGCAAGAATTTGAATTTGGTATATAAAAGCAGGAGGGGCTGCCAGTGAAGTTCAAACAGGGAGACGTGATGAGAATAATTGGAAGGACTATCGTCTCGGCATCAGTGTGTTGGATTGACAGGAGGAGGGTGCTGTGAAAGATATAAAAGAAAGAAAACAGAACGAAACTGGTTGGGTAGGAAAACAACAGAAGCAGCAAGATTTTGAAATCGTGTTCTAGGCAAATGAACCAGAGAAAGTACACGGTCAAAGATGATGTTTCTGTAGAGGAAAGAGCGGCAGAGAGGAACTGGTATCGATAAGGATTCTGGAAGGAAGGTCAGAAGCTTAGTTTTGGCCATGCAGAGCTTACGTTGCTCTGGCATCTCCTCCTGACGTTTTCCTGTCCGTGTTGTGGAACTGGGTGGAAGTGAATGGCGCTGTTGTAAGGGTGTCAGCCTGAGAGCGGTTTGAAACCACTTTGGTGAGGATCAGAACTAAAGTAGTGGCATTTGAGACAAATGTTTTTAGTGAACCTCTGTTTAGAAACAAAAATATTAAATGAATGGGCAGATCTGGATAAGCAGGACAAGGGAATAACTTTATGGACTGAAGAAGTTTAGAGTGAGATTACAAAAGATGAACAAGGAAGTATGTGAGTTTAATAGCTAGAAGAATTGGGATACTGGGAAAGTAAGCTGCAAAATAAGTTAGTGTTTGTCCTGGGAAAGAGGGAGCTGGTGGAGCTCAAACTAGATTTGTCTGAAAGTAAAGTCAGCAAAATCAACAATTTACAGAGGGAGAGGGAGCCTTCAAGGAGATAAATGTGTATAACCTATTGGTAAACTTAAAAAGGGAAGTTGAGTTAGTTATTAAAGTGTCAAGCTTTGAATCAGTGGCAGAGTGTGAAGGTAAAGCCCTTGCTTTGTGTTCAAGCTTCCAATTTTATTGGATTGTTTTTGTTGAGTAACCGCTATGCAGATGGATCTTAACCAATGTTAATAAAATCGGTGACTATGTATTTATAATTATGTTGTGGCATTTTTTGATTGGTATGTTTCCGCTGAAGCTTTTTGTTTGTTTCCTACCGTAGTTGTTCTTCTCATGACCTGTCAAACTCGTGGGATCAGTCAAGTCTACATCGTACTTCAGACCAGTTCAGCTCTTTGGGAAGTATGGACAGCTGGGACCACACTCCACAAGTAGCACAGTATGGAAGGCTTTCTTCTGCAAGGTCTAACAGTAGCATTGACCATCTAGGAAGCCAAAGTAAACGGGATTCAGCCTACGGGTCTTTCTCCACAAGTTCTAGCACCCCCGACCACACTCTGTCCAGTGCAGACACTTCTTCGACAGAGAACATGCTGTACAAAGTAGGCCACTGGGAGACTGCTAAGCATGGAAACAAGTCTGGCCAATTCTTGAATGACAACAGTGTAATAGAGGACAAACCTGGGTATTTGCCAGCTCCCATCCAATATGAGAACAACAAAGGTCCTAGAATAGAGGAACACCCTGATGGCAAGCTCACTAGCTCTGGAAGATCCAGTTTTGGACCTGTCTGGTATGTTCCTGATAAGAGAAAGTCTTCATCTCCTCCCCCTCCCCCTCCACCTCTCCGTAGTGACAGCTTTGCTGCTACCAAAGGCCATGAGAAAGCCCATGGCCCCGTGTTCTCAGAGGGTGCCAGCACGCAGCACTTTACAGCCCTGAACCGGTCTCAGCCCAGGAGTGACTGGAGCTTGGAAGCCGCAGAGCAGCAGCGGCAGCTCTCCAGAGCATGTGACAAGAGGGTCAGCAGTTCAAATCACAAATCTGATCTCAGTTCAGAGCTGGCTTTTTCTTGGGCTGGTGAAAGGTACAATAGTACCGCGGGAACTGTCAGCAGGCTGCAGTCGTCCTTGTCCAGCACTGACGTTCGGTTTGCACAGCCTGCTTACAGCTGCCACCACCAGCACCAGCACAGTGATGAGAGCACTTTTTTCCACAATGCAAGAATCTCAGCTGCACCTAAAGATCAGCAGCATTATCTGTCCTATAGTGGCATTCAGGAGTCACCTGCGGATCATTTTCACGACTACAGTCCAAACCAAGGCAGTCTCCTCAACGCTTCCTCTGCTTTGAACAGTGCTGCTGAACAGAAGGTGGACAACACTGGACAGAGCCGTTATTATTGCGTGACAGCAAAACAGCCTGCTCAGGGAAGCTCAAAGCCACTGCAACTCAAGGACGACAGCTGGAAACCCGCAGCGGGGGCTGATGCATCGCTGGGACCTCATGAAACTCCTGCAGTTGTCACAATGGTTCAAAAACCAAAATACTATCTACCTCAACAATCTGTTGAATCTTCACTGAAAGGGTGTGAGAACAGTAGTCATTACCCAGTGGACAGAGAGGGGGGTGCTAGGTGTGTTGTATTAGAAGAAGCTAAAAAAACCCATCATACTGAAAAGTCTGGACAAAAGAAAAACTTTGAGAGCAGCTCTGAGGAAAGTGAAACTAGGTACCGTCAACAGGAGTATGTGAAGGGCTGTGTCCTTACCACTGAAAACAGATCTGCTCAGAAGGATTTTAGGTGGAGGAAAGATGAGAGTAGCAAGATTTCTCCTCAGAAGACCCCAATGTTGCACTCTTTAGCTCAGGAAGGGAAAAAACAGTCTGACAACAGCCCAGAAGCAGTAACAGAACGACAGGCCCCATTTGACACCCACTTGTCTAAACAGGCACGAAGGAGTGATCGTTTTGCAACAACGCTGAGAAATGAGATCCAAATGAGAAGGGCAAAGCTGCAGAAAAGTAGAAGCACTGCTACGTTAGTAGGGTCCTCTGAAACAGAGGAGTGCAATGAGACCTGGAAGCCAGATTCAGCAGCAAATGTCACCACCTCTCCAGACACTAACTTTACCAGCACCTACAAAGATCACCTCAAGGAAGCACAGGCCAGGGTTCTGAGGGCGACGTCCTTCAAACGGCGGGACTTGGAACCCAGCCCCACTGAATATCTCCCGAGGTCACCCGAGCGGAAACCTGGTAGCTACAACTCCTCGTTACTGGCTTTGGTTTCTGAGGATGCGTCTGGATTCCTTGAGGCTACACAAGCTAAACCGAACCCTGCAGGGAGCGGCACTCATCACGTTTCTCGCGTTGGAGCCAGGAAGAGGTTCACAACAGAGCAAAAACTGAAGTCTTACTCTGAACCAGAGAAGATGAATGAGGTGGGGGTGTCAGAGGATGAGTGCCGTGCTCATTGCCATCCAAATACATCTGAAGAAGCCCTGGGCTCATTTGCAGACAGGTGGAAATTTTTTGAAGAAACAAGTAAACCTGCGTATAGGAAATCGGCTCAGAAACCAGCTCCCCGCGGTCTAGCTGAGGGACAGCCCGAGAGGCTGGATAGGAAAGCTCATGGTGGACAAGAGGGAGAGGAGTCATGGTATGAGAGAAGAGGTCGAGCAGCCTCTGTTGGACTTGAAACTACACATGCTTCAAAAGATAACGTCCATTATAGTAGTAGCAGTAAGGCTGCTGATAGGATTGTGAGATCTGAACAGCCCCAGCGCCTGGGAACCTTTGCAGAGTATCAGGCGTCGTGGAAGGAGCAGCGGAAGCCACTAGAGCCGAGGAGCTCAGGAAGGTACCATTCAGCTGATAATATCCTTGATGCAGGCCACGAACAACATGAGAAACCTCAGTACACCCATGAGAGGTCTAGATCATCCCCTTCTACTGATTTCTACAAACAGGTACACGTCTTTCACCTAATCCTTTAAATTGTCTGGGAGGGGACAGGAAAGTGGTGGAAGGGGAATGAGATTATTTTAATCACAGAACCACAGAATGGTGGGGGTTAGAAGGC